ATAAAAGTGAGTATTCAGGAAGACAGTGCAGTTGGGTAACTCAAAGAGAAATGGTTTAGCATCTTTTATTTTGCCATGAGCCAGAGCTTACATTGGAGGGATATTGAGTACTAAGATAAAAGGAAATAATCACTAATTATTGAAAACATTACCCCGGTCCTTTATCAGGCCACGTACTTGAGAAGTCAAAACATGCCACCTTTGGATTGGGGTCAAATTCCTGATAAGGAATGTTCCCACAGGAAGCTGCTCTGATCCGTGCCAGGCTGCAGGACCTGTTCAAAGAAGCTGCTGGGGGACTGAGAGAGGGAGAAAAGAAATAGAAGTCCCACAGGGTTTGCCACATTGCAATCCTCCATCCACCCTTCCAGCTGACCAGGATCTTGGGCATACTCAGTGTCTGCAGGTGGACGAGGGATCCAAACACTCGACCTCTCCATATGGCTGCAGTATGTGTCATGACGCCCTCCACCTGCTACCATGGCTACAGCCATCCGACTTTGCCAATATGTCTTATTGTGCTGCTAAACAGAAACATGCGACACTGTAGCCTATTACACATCTCGACAACGGGCAGCTCTCTGAGAGAAGACAGGCATCCTCCCAAGGGCTGCCATATCTGGATCTACCCCCAGCATCAGGCAGCCTGAATTGCAGGCCCATGCCTGCAACTGTTTGAAGGGATATCTGGGACCAGCTAGATACCTGGTGGGACCTTTCCACATGATCTAGTTTTAAGGCTGCACTACCATTTTGCTCCAAGCAGCATACCTTTTTTTTTCTTTTCAACTTTGCATGTGCTCTCACCAGAGAGAGTAAGCAACAGAGAGAGAGAGAGAGAGAGGGAGCGAGAGAGAGAGAGAGAGAGGAAAAGTGGGAAAGCAACCCTTGTATCCTCAGAAGAACAGTCATGCTGCAATTCTTTCTCCTCCATTTCCCCCTCCTTTTGGGACTTTGGGCACATATGCACACGAGCACAGTGTTTTAGGCCTCTGGGTCCAAAACTCAAATGTGTGGCAGGTCATGCAGTATCCAGTTGTCTTAGCTACCAGGCCACAGGCTGGCCCACTCAACCACTTTTAACAGAAGCCTTATAGCACATTCTCTTAGAGTATCTTACACTGCGGTCAATCATTGTCTCTTAAGGATAAAGTTGAAAGGAACAATCAAAATTGTGAAATGTTCTTTGTCAAAATCTGCTTCCTGGGTCTGGAGTCCTAACCCTCATCAATATTAATTTTTTCTATCTTGGGGAAAAATAGACTGCATAATTATAACTATTATCTACTGTAATACAACAAAATAGTCATCTTCCCTAGTAAGATAATGTATGTATTGTAGCAAGTAAAACATGCAGTACATAGAAAATTTCCTGTTTAAAAGTCTGCCCAAAGAGCATGCTAACTTGCTGTTTTATTTTGAAATAATTTTTTTATTTAACCTGCCTACAATGAAATAATAGGATTATAATGAATGTTATCACTGCCTGTAACTGCTTCCCTGGGAGAGATAAGGGAATCAAAAGCACCTCTTTCTTTCAAGTAGTCACATTATAGCATGCTGTCAGTTAGATTCCAGATGGCAAGCAAGCACTTCCTTATTACAACTCAAGAAAGTATAAGATCAAAACTGAGCAAAGATGTAAAAAGCATAATTAATCTTTTTGGCAGAGTGCCGAGACCAGCATAAGTATTAACCAGATATGCTTTAGCACAGGCTTGGGAAAAGTATTAGAGAGTCCAAAACTTAATTCTTTTCATCATTTTCTTTTTTAGATTCCAAAAATCTGCCTATTTATTAAATAATTAACATTAATTATAGGTCTCATAGCCAGCAGGTGGCATGGTGGTTAAGGCTCTGGATCCCACATGGCTAATTGCACAGTTCAAGTCCCAGACCTGGCAGCTTGGACAACATTCTGGGTACGTGTCAGTGTGCAGTGTGTGCCCAAAATCTCAAGAGGAGAATGGAGAAGAAGGGACTGCAGTGTGGCCATCCCCCTGGGAAGGAGTTTTCTCTTTCTCTCTCTCTCTCCATGGCAAATGCACATGTCCTACGGCAAAAAAATATTTAAAAATAAAATATAAAATAGGGCTGCCAGGTGGCATGGTGGTTGGAGGCACTGGATTCCCACGTGGTCAACTACAGTTTGAGAACCAGACCTGGCACCTTGCTTTCTCATTTTCACTTTCTGTCTTTCTGTGTCTCTGTGGTCAAATTAAAAAAACTAATAATAACAAAAGGAATTATATAAATAAAGTATTCTATTTTAATTAAAAAATAATAAAATATAAAATAAGTCTCAAAATATGCCTGGAGAATGCAGTTATTCTTGATTTGGGAGCCCAGTCCCCTAACAAATATTTAGTCAAAACTAGTCATCTTTATAAGCCAAAGAGAAGCAGAATGCCATTGATGAAAATAAGGGCAGACTGTGGAGAACAATTTGGAGGTTCCTCAGAGACCTACAAATAGAACTACCATATGATCCAACAATTCCACTGCTGGGTATCCCAAAGGATAGGAGAATGCTCAGTTGGAAATGTGCTTACACACCTATCTTTATTGCAGCATTATTCAGGACTGCCAAGACATGGAACCAACCCAAATATCTATGAACAGATGAATGGATTGGAAAAGCATGGCACATATCCTCTATGGAATACTACTCAACCATTAAAAAAAAACCAACAAGATCCTGGCATTTAATAGAAAGTGGACAAATATGAAAGATTTGTTGTTGAGTGACATAAGCCAGGCTATGAAAGAGAGACATTGTATATCTCCACTTACCATATACTGACTGTTGACACTCTATGGTGGAAACGGAGAGACTGGAGGACATAGACGCATTGAAAATGGTTATAGATTCTGAAGACAATATGGGAGGAGGGCAGGAAAAGGGGAAGAATATAAGAAAGGAAATTAAGGAGGAAAATGAAGAGACAGGACATTTATGAGACACAGAAGTGGGTTATTATCTTTTGATGATAATGTGTTTTGTATCCTCAACTGAACAGGTATGAAGTGTTTTCATGTTAGGTAAATTAAACTTACAGGCAAAGTGATGTATAGTGATTAAATGTATAAAATAAAAAATAATAATTTTTAAAAAGTGAGGGCAGAGCCAGGTGCTTTGGCAAGCACTTGTAATCCTAGCTACTGGAGAAACTGAGTCAGCCAGGCCAGGTGGCATAGCAAATCCTTGTGTCTAGGAAAGTAAAATAAGAGTAACTACAAAGTGACGACATTTTGCGGGGCTCATAATTTATCTTACTAGACAGATTCAGAAGTGCAGATCTGGATTTTGATCATCCTCCAAAGATGATTATTTTTAATGCTAGCCTTAGTTCTAGATGTATGTGTTTGAGTAGGTTCGATTTTTAAAGTCCTTCAGTTTTATAATGACCTCTTACGTCCAGTGTGGAAATGGAGGGAAGGTGTTGTGGAAGAGAAATTAGGCAAGTCGTTCACATGAGCCTTGTGTATATTGGTCAAACGTTGATTTATCATAATAAAAAAATGTATGATAGTAACAAAAAAGGTCTAGAGTAGAGAGGCTGGCTGAGCACTTGGTGTCATGCCATATATTCATAAAATGACAAGTGCTGGGGCCAGCAGGTGTCATGGTGGTTAAGGCATTGTATTCCCATGTAGTCAACCAAGGTTTGCGTACTGGACCTGGCACTTCGAAATTCAGGCCAGGTGGCTGTGAATGCATGCCCAAATGCTCAAGAGGAGAATGGAGGAGAAGAGATTGCAGCCTGGCCATCCCCGGGGGATGATTTCTCACTTTCTGTCTCTGTGTTTCTCTAGTGAGTGCACATCCCCTAAAAAAAAATCTCTCAGAAAAACAAACAAATAAGCAAACAAAAAACAAAATGACAAGTGCTGTGCTATGTCCATTTTGAGAAAATGTATATAAAATAATGTATTTTAAGTGAAAATGATTAATACAAAATAGTGAATGTATACAAAAGAATTGCATGAAAATGTTATCACAAAATCACAGCTCATTTTTTTTGAGAAGTTTTTGCCATACGGTACATGTACTCGCCAGAAAGAGAAAGAGAGACAGAAAGTGAGAAATTAACCCCTAGGGGGATGGCCACATCAAATCCCTTCTCCTCCATTCTCTTCGGGATCTTGGGCACACATGCACATGCCTGGCGTAAGTTCAAACCTCTGGGTCCGGGACTCAAACCTTGGTCAACTACGTGGGAGTCCAGCGATGTAGCCATTACACCATCTGCTGGTTCCAATCAAAACTTATTTTAAAAATATTTATTTATTATGGTTATTATTATTTTAATATGGCCAAAGAGAGAAAGAGAAGGAGACTAAGAAAACAAGTATCCAGGCTGGAACTCGACCAGCAGCAATGGGCCATGTAGGAGTTCAGCACTTAACCACCACATCACCTGCCGGCCCCTATAGCTCATTTTTTTTAAATTTATTTTTATTCTTCTTATTTTTTTTAGGTCTTTGCCATAGGGCAAGTGTGCTCACTGGATAGAGACAGAGAGAGGGAAAGTGAGAAATCAGCTGTCCACCCCTGCCATGAGAGATGGCCACACTGTAATCCCTTATCCTCCATTCTTCTCTCAGGATTTTGAGCATGGCAATCCCTTCTCCTCCATTCTCCTCTCGGGATCTTGGGCACGCACGCACACGCGCCCGGCGTGAGTTTTAAGCCACCGGGTCCGGGACACGAACCGCGGTCGACTACGTGGGAGTCCAGCGACATAGCCATTATGCTAACTGCTGGTTCCCAACACAGCTCATTTTTAAATGTACAAGTATTCATTGTTTTCTTTTTTCTCTTATAGTTGTTCAAATTCATGATAAAATAGAAGATAGTTCCGGATTTGGGAACAGCGCTATTTTTCATCTTGAGCCAGGTCTTTAAACATCGTCACTTCATCAGTTCCCTGTAGGTTAATTATTAGCACATCAGAACAATTCTCTTCAAACACTAAAAGTCGGTGGATCAGTCAACAGTTCCTGCTTTCCACACGGCTCAGAGACCTTCCCCAAACCACCAGAAGAAGGAAGTGAAAAGATCTTAAATACTGGGACCAGAACATTCCGGTCATCACAAGTCTGGCTTCCCAGTCAACATGAAGGCTCTCCTTGTTCTGGGGCTTCTGCTCCTTTCCGTCACTGTGCAGGGCAAGATCTTTGAAAGGTGTGAGTTGGCCCGAACTATGAAAAGACTTGGATTGGATGGCTACAGGGGAATCAGCCTGGCCAATTGTAAGTGTGCTTTCCTTCAGGCCTCCAGGTGGTCAGCCAGGTAGGGCTCAGCTACTAGGGGAGAGTAAGTCAGGAGAGGGGGACTGAGGGAATTGACTTTTATTGCCTTGCAGGTATGTCTACTACAACGGTGAAATGCGTCAGTTTGGTCCTTTAGACTCAGCCTTTTTGGCACCAGGGACCAGTTTTGTGAAAAAAAATTTCTCCAGAGACAGGATGAGAGGATGGTTTGGGGATGATTCAAGTACATTGCACTGATTGTGCGCTTTATTTCTATTATTATTACATTGTGATGTATAATGAAATAGTTCTACAGTTCACCACAATGCAGTGCTTGCAGCTGCTCCCCAGTGCTAGCATCAGGGCCACAGCTCCACCTCAGATCACCCAGCATTAGATTTGCACAAGAAAGCATGCAACCTAGATCGCTCGCATGCACAGTTCACCACAGGGTTTGCGCTCCTTTGAGAATCTAATGCCGCTGCGGATGTGACGGGAGGCAGAGCTCAGGCCATAATGCCAGTGATGGGGAATGGTTGTAAATGGAGATGAAGCTGCACCGGCTCACCAGCTGCTTACCTCCGGCCGTGGGGCCCAGTTCCTAGCAGGTCATGACTGGTAATGGTCCATGGCCAGGGGTTGAGGACCTCTGCTTTAATCCAAAGATCTCGGATTAAGGAATGAGGGCAGGGGAGAGAAATACCCTATACCATTCTAGCTAAGACAGGACCTGTTACACGCTTGTACTGCCACTCAGTTTGCCCGGGGTCTCAGACTCAATGGAGCAGACGGACCGACAAGAGGATACTTTGGGGGACTTGGCACAGCTCTGTCAGGGTCTTGGTATTTGATCCTAGCCATTGCTCTTTTGGAACTAGGGTTCTGAGAACCTGAAGTAATCGGTATTTTTATCTTTATTAATTCTCCTGCCATGATACGAGATTTTTAAGAAGTATGTTGAAACTCTCCATACAGGGACAGAAACCTATTTCCTTTCTGTCACTGTTCATATTAGCACTCCTGAGACACAGAATTTTAACAATCATATAATTTTATATAATTAACAGCTATTTTCCTATTCTTAAAAATACATTATCTTGCTTAATTAGCATTACAAAATGATTTACTTTGCCAAAGGATTCTCTTGGAGTCCTTTAACAACAAACTGTTAAAATATTTTGAAGGTAAAATCCATCTTTATACTTATAAAATAAGTCCTTAGAAACATAGAAATAGCTAAATTAGAATGGATTTTAGTATACGGTGTAAGTCATTTGGTGTTTCTGTTTATTACTAACAATCAGTTCTTTTCAGGGATGTGTTTGGCCAGATGGGAGAGTAGCTATAACACACGAGCTACAAACTACAATCCTGGAAGCCAAAGCACTGATTATGGGATATTCCAGATCAACAGCCGGTACTGGTGTAACGATGGCAAAACCCCGAGAGCAGTGAACGCCTGTGGCATATCCTGCAATGGTAAGAGGGGACGACCGACGTCTAAGTGCTGGCATGGCCCTGTCTGGTACTTACAGGAGCAGAGTTTCAATGCAAATGGATTTTTTTTTTTTTTTGGAGAGGTTTTCACTATAGGGCGCGTGCGCTCTCCAGACAGACAGAGAGAGATTTAGATACAGAAATCGAGAAATCACCACCCAGGGGGGATGGTCATGCCGCAATCCTTTCTCCTCCATTCTACTCTTGGGATCTTGGGCACGCACGCACACGCGCCTGGCGTGAGTTCTAAGCCACCGGGTCCGGGACGCGAACCGTGGTTGACTACGTGGGAGTCCAGCGACATAGCCATTACGCTAACTGCTGGTTCCCAATGCAAATGGATTTTGAAGGATTTGATGGAGACCTAGAAAAATTCCATCTCCACTTCTGGAAGGTTGTCATTGTCCTCCTCACAATTCCCTAAGTAAGAAATTAAAGAGCTGGTAATATAAAACATTGTTTTTGAATATACAGAAGTATCTGCAATGACTTGTTTGTCGTATATGCAACATTGGGGCTTTGTGTAGAACACCGCTATTTCTCCAGCTTACTTTGGAGAAGTTCGTGGAAAAGTTCATGGCTCCAAATTTTTGGAAATTTTGATGTAGCAATTGTTTGATTATTTTACTTTTTATTATGAAAATGTTCCAAATATGTAGAATGTTACAGACGTTAGTATAACCAGCCATATGTTCACCGAGTACTTGAACGTTTTGCCATAGATGCTTCTTTTGACTCTCCCCTACCTGTCCAGTCCACAGTCCCCTAGCCAGCCAGGATCACGGGAAGCTCGTGGGTGTTCCCAGCATGTTCAGGTTGACCCAGATCAAACTCCAGGCCTTCTCATATGGCTCTAATATCCTCACGGATGCCATATTACCTGTGTCACTGCACTTAGGCCTAAACTTACAGTGCAATGTGTAAAAACTGTATAGAACTCCACTATATGAATAGTCTATAATTCATTACTCCAGCTCCTTTGTTAAGCTCTTACTGTTTCCATTTTTCCCTTTTAGAAAATTGCTGTGTGCTGACCATGTAGCTTAGTGGTTAAAAGAGACAGATTCCACCATGGCCAAGTGTGGTTTGAATCCCAGCTTTGGCAGCTTGAGAAAGACACTGGACACATGTGTATCCAGGCCCCAAATCCTGACAGATTAAGAGAAATGGAGGAGGAGGGAGTGCAGTCTGAGCCCGCCCTATTGGGGGATGCTTTCTGCCTCTCTGTCTCTCTTTGGGAAGTACGCAAGCCCTCTGGAAATTGAAAAAAGAAAGAAAGAAAAAATTACCACGAAAAAAATTGTGCATATATCTCCGGGTATATTTCTTATTGTTTTATGGTGTTAATTTTCAAGAGTGGAATTGCTAAATGAAAAATTACTAAGCTTTTTTTCCTACTGAGTCTAATAGAAAGAAGACCTTTCATCATATTAGTTAATTATTCCAGAGCTTACACTGACTTTGGTAAAAAGAAACGAAATGCTTATTTCATGGCAAAACAAAGAGAAAATTTCTCATCATAAATATATAGACTCTTGGAAAATGATTTCTCAGTATTCTTTCCTTAGCTTGACAGAATAAAATTTTTAATAGTCAAAAGTACTCGAAATGACATATCAGTTTATTGAACCTGGACTTACTGATGCTTTGTCCAGAACAATGCCATTTATCCAGCTAACTTTTGAGAGGTTTATGGATAATTCAGTTATATGGTCCTTTTTTTTTTTTTTTGAGAGGATTTTGCTGTAGGGCACGTGTGCTCACTAGAAAGACAGAGAGAGACAGTGAGACAGAAAGTGAGAAATCCCTAGGGGGGATGGCCACACCGCAATCCCTTCTCCTCCATTCTCCTCTCAGAATCTTGGGCACACACGCACATGTGCCTGGTGTGAGTTTAAGCCAC